ATCCTCCCTTCTGCCCCCCAACCCCTTTCCCACCCCCCAAGGCCATGGGGCTGCAGCTCCACAGCACCCTGAGCTAAGGGGTAGGGGACTGCTAGCACCCCAGGGTGGGTGATGGCGAGAGGATTCTTCCTCCAAAAAGCTTTTTATTAAAATATATTCCTATATTTTTACAACACCCTGTCACCGACAAGGTGGGGGGTGCTGGGGGTAAGGGGGGGGTGCCTGCCCCTCCCTCCAACCCTGCCCCAGAGGGTCCCAAACCACACGGCACCCCTGGGAGAGGAGGAGGAAGAGAGAGGGGGTAGCCCCAGAGCCCAGGGTGGGGGACAAGGGGAGACGCAGGACTTGGTCCTTTCCCCCCTGCAGGGTCCCGGGGCTGAAACAGAGACCCTGGGGTCTCCCCACAGAGCAGCACCCTGATCCCCCCCACAATGGGATTTGAGGCCCATGACTCCCCCCAAACAGCTCAGCACCCATGGGTGGGTGGTGGAGGGGGGGGGCCTCAGCTCTCGAACCACTTGCTCCTCTTGGGTGCGGGGGGGTCGCTGCCCAGGATCTTCCTCTTGTACCGCTCCACCAGCTCACTGAACCGGGCCTCGGCCCCCCCGCCCTCCCGCCGCCGTGCCTGCAGGCAGAGGCGAGAGGGGAATATGGGGGTCCCCGGACCCCCCCATGTCCCAGCACCAAGCTGGGCACAACCAGAGCCCGGGAGCACCGCTGGGGGGGTGCGTGAGAGGAACAGGGGCGCCCACAGGGTGCAAGGACATGGGAGGAAAGAGAGAGCCCACAGCCCCCCCTAATTAGAGGGATCTGACCCCAAAACCAGCCCGGGGGTGGGGGGAGCATGTGACCCTCCGTGTCCCTACCTGGGTGGGGGCCACCTTGCGCTTCTCCTTCCGTCGCTGGACTTTGGCCTTGGGCTGCTTGGGGAGGGGCTTCACCTTCCCCTTGTCGCGCTTCCTGGGTGGGGGAGAGCAGAGGGGGCACCCATGGGTGCCAGGTACGCCCATGGGCGCCTGCATGCACCCATACGTGCTGCCCCCCCTGGCACCCAGAGGGGACGATGTGGCCCAGCCCTGGGCCCCAGGGGAAGGAAGGGAAAAGCCAGAGACACCCACACCGAGGGGGAAGGACCCTGGGGGGACGCTGAGGGTGGAGGGAGAAGGGAGCGTCCATCATTCTCCCCCCTCCCTGCCCCATACCTGATCTTGGGCCCGCGGTGCGAGGGCAGCGCTAGCACCTTCTTCCTCGTAGTGCCATCCGGCAGCTCCACACGCTCCACCTGCGCCTCCGTGCGGAAACCGGACCAGGGCATGGTGGGAGCCGGGTGTCCCGGGGGAGCCGGGGCAGCCTCCTGCCCCCCCGCTGGTGGTCCCCCAGAGCCGTGGGAGCCCTCAGACCCCTTGGAAAGGGGTTTTTTCCTTCCCTGATGCTTCTTAGGGGGTCCCGCTGGCTCAGCTGCCCCGGCAGCAGCCGGCTCCTTCTCCGCTGGCTTCGGTTTCAGCTTGAGCTGTGCCAAATACCGCATCAGCGCCGGGGAGAGAGGACCAAGGGTGGGGACACACACACACACCACACTCCTACCAGGCTGCGCTGGGCTCGCTGTTCCTTCAGCTTCAGCTTCCGCCGATCCTCCAGTGAGAACTCCACGATGGGCCTCTGCAGGCAGAGCCAGGGGTGGGTGGCAGGCCTGGGGGGGCTCCAGCCCCCCAATAACACCAGGAGCACCCCCAAGAATCTCCCTGCCTGTGGCCCCAGGGGAGGCAAGTGGGGTGATGGGGAGACCCCGTGGGGTGAGAGCCCACAGGGCTATAGGGTGATGGGTGGCGGGCAACCCAAATGAGGTGGTGGGCAACCCCATGGGCAGAGAGGGAGGTGCTGGGGAGACCCTGGTGCTGGGGGGGGGGATTGGGGGGGCTAAGGGTGGGGCCATAGGAAAGACCCCAAGAGGGCCAGCCCGTAAAGTGTAGGGTTTTGGGGGGACCCTACAGGATCCCACGCAATGGGGTTGTGGGTGACAGGAAAGATGTGGAAAGAGGGGGACATGGTAAACCCTCTGCACCACCCCAGGGGGGTCCAGCCCCTCAAGATACCACCCCGACCCTCCCCTCGAGCTGCTGCACCCACCTTCTGAGCCCCGAAGAGACGAGGATTGTTGTTGATGCTCCGCAGGGCGGCCAGCGCCTGTTCGTGCTCCCCAAACTCCACGAAGGCGTAGCCCAGGGACTGCCCCTTCCCTCGCAGCTCCCGCATCACCCGGCACTTTTTTGAAGGGGTGGGGGGCACAGCACCAGCTCACCAACCTGTGCTGGGACCCCCCGCCACTGCCAGGACCCACAGGTCCACCTCACTGTAGGACATCCACCTCCTCTGCACCCCCAAACCCACAGCAGAGGGGACACTGGGGGGGACAGCCACCTCCTCTGCACCCCCAGCCACCCCCAAACCCTCCCCAGAGGGGACACAGGTCACAGGGGGACATGGAGCGGGGTGGGGGGATGACACCCACCTCCTTGATGCGCATGGCCTTGCCCCCGCCAGCCACCTGTAGCAGCAGACGCCGGAGCCGGGCACTGTCCACGGCCTTGGGCAGGTTGTGGATGCAGAGCCGGGTACGGGACACAAAAATGTTCTGGTCCCGCAGCTTCTGGTACTTGAGTTCCTCAAACTGGGAGAAATGGTGCCGTGAGGGGGGAGTCGTGCCCCCCACCCCTCCCAGGGGGGCCAGACGTGCCGTCCCTAAGCTGCCACAGCCCCCAGGGTCTGGAGTCTGCTCACTCACCCGCGCCCGCTTGGCCATGTCAGCGTCGCTCACGCCCTCCGCAGCCTTCGTCCCGGCCCGGATCACTGCCGGTGGGGTGAGATGGGGGATGTTGGGAGAGCGAAAAGGGGGTGTTAGGGGTGGCTGGGACCCCCCCGGGAGCCAGTACTCACAGCCTTCACGGGCCAGGTAAAGGTTTCGGGTGCCCGTTGGCTTCTTTGCCTTCTGCCCACGGAGTTTGTGGGCCTCCTCGCGGCTCACGGCTGGGTCGATGCGGAGCAGCCGCCCATCCAGCCGCAGACCCCCGCCCTGCGAGAGGACAGAGCTGGGGGTGGGGGGCACAGTCAGGATCCCACACCGCCTGGGCTGGGGGTCCCAGGAAGTGAAATGACCCTGGAGAGAGGGGGATGACCCCACAGGCATCCCCCAAACCCAAGGCGGGAGGGCTGGTGCTGCCCCCAAGCCCCTGGGAGATCCTTCGTTGCCCCTGGGGGGGGGCCCTGGCCTCCCCATGCCCCCAGGGGGGTTGTCCCTGGTCTCCCCCGGAGAGGTTCCTCATCACTCTGCTCACCTCACTCTCCTCCTGGGCAGCCTGGAGGCATTTCTGGGCGGCTTCTTGTGTCAGGAACTGAGCAAAGGCACAGCCTGGGGACAGAGGGGGGCTTGGTGAGGGGACAGGGACAGGAGGGGGTGTCCGTCCCCCCCCCTCCATGGGACCCCCCACCCAGGTTACCTTTGGAGTGCTCTGTGTCGGGGTGCAGGACGACGCGGACATACTTGAGGTCCCCAAATTGCTGCAGCATCTCCCCCAGCGCCTCCTCCTCCGTATCGAAGGAGAGGTTCCTGCGATTGGGGTAGGGGGGGACCGTTGAGGGCAGCCCCCCTCCCCGGCATCCCCCCAGGCCCAGATCCACCAGCGTGGCAGAGAGGGGGCCCCCCCGCTCTGCCCTCCAAGAGATCCAGCGCTCACCGGATGAAGACGGTCCTGCCCTCGCCCACATCTGAGGGGGGCTGCCGCCCCTTCCCCTGTTGCTTCTTGGGTGCGTCCCCCCCTGCAACCACAAAGGAGCCGGCAGTCGGTGCCTGCTGGCCACACCGCAACAGCTTCCAGACCCCAGGGTAGCCCCCCCAGACCCCAAGGAAGCCCCCCCCAGTCACTAACCCAGTCACCCTGCCTGCAGCAGCCCACCCTACCAGCCTCCCCCACAGAGCAGAATAGACCAGACCTTCCTCCTCCTCTTCCTCCTCCGAGCCCTCCTCCAGCTCGCTATCATCCTCGCTGCCTCCTTTGTCATCATATTCTTCCCCATCTTCCTCCTCCTCGCTGCTGTCTGCGACTGCCGTCCCCTTCCCAGACCTGCAGGAATCAGGGCAGAGCTGGCCTGGTCCCACAGCAGCCCCGAGCAGGGGTAGGGGGACAGGACAGGGCTCTGTCTGGGGGTCCCACAGGGGGACAAGCCCAGGGCTCTGTCCCAGAGTCCCACGGGGGTGGGGGTCTGCATCCCAGAGCAAGGCCAAGACCCCCCCAGATCAGCCTCATCCCTCCTTAGCTGGCACAACCCCTTCTCTCACTCACCGGCCTCGTGCCTGAGATGAGGAGGACTTGCTCTTTTTCATCTTTCCAACTGCTTTTTTGTTTTCCTCCTCTTCCTCTTCTTTTTCCTCTTCTTTTTCCTCCTTCTCCTCTTCCTCCTCCTCCTCAGCATCACCCGGACTCTGCTCTTCAGCCTCCCCAGGTTTCTCCTCCTCGATTTCTGCAAGGCGGGACAAAGAGACAGGGACGAGGGGACAGTCCCCCCCAGTGACCCTCTCTCCCCCCTCAAGCCAGAAGCGGGGTGCAACTGCCTCCGACACTGCCAGTAGGGGAGCACCCAGCTGGGCCCAGAGCTGTGCCGGGAGGGGGGTTAGGACCCTCACCGTCGGGCTGGCTGCCCTGCGTCGCCTGGTATTTGTCCTTGGCCACGGCCCAGTCCACTGCCACGGGCCGCCCTGAGGAGGCAAATGGACATGGGGACATGCCATCAGCGTCCCCCCCTTCTCTCCCTTGCAAACCAAAGCTGCCCAGACAGTCTCCTGACGCTCCGCAGGGGAAGGGGGCAGAAGGCAGGGGGCAGGGGGAAGGGAGCAAGGGGAAGGGAGCAAGGGGAAGGGAGCAAGGGGAAGGGAGCAAGGGGAAGGGAGCAAGGGGAAGGGGCAGGGGGGACACCCCACAAAGCTCCCCCTGCAGCAGGGGAAGTGGGGAGAAGCACGGTTGAACCTTTGATCTCTTTCATGTTCATCCCCCGGAGCGCCTTGGTCGCTTCCAGCATGTTCCTCAACTGCACAAAGGCGAATCCCCGCATCTTCCCATCTGCAAGAGCCAGGAATGCTGCTCCACACCTGCTGGCAGCTGCCCCCCGCTCCATCGGCAGGGCCAGGTTGCCGGCACAGAAATGCCACCACCCCGAAAACGGTCCCTGGCACGGGGCTCACCTGGCTTCCTGGGGATATTCACCTCCAGCACAGTGCCGAAGGGCGAGAAGAGAGATCTCAGGTCGTCCTCGGAGCACTGGGGAAGGACCAGCTGGGTGAGGGAAGGGGGTGGGGGGGCCCCGGGAGCCGGCAGTGCCTGCTGGCATGCTTCCCTGGGGCAGGCAGTGATGTGGGGGTCCCCTCCCTGCACTGCTCAGGGTCACGCCAGCGCTGGCTGGGGGCAGGGTGTGGAGCCAGACCCCCCGTACCTTGAAGCTGAGGTTGCGGACGATCAGCCGGGCCTTCCTGGAAGCGGCTCTAGGCTTCTTCGGTCTCGGGGGGGCTGCGGTGGCGGCCTTGGGGGCACCTGCAGTGGAGAGAGCGGGTATTTGGGGAGAGCACGGCCTGGGGACAGACCCAGGGCAACTGCCGGTCCCTGAGAGCACAGGCAGGGAACAGGACTCCCAGCTCACCCACTGCCGCCTCCTCCTCCTTCTCCTTCTCCCGCTGCGGCTTCTTCCTCCCCTCCCTGGGCCTCTGCCGGGCTAGTGTCACACTGAGCTGGCGGCCACCGAGGGTGGTGGCCTCCTGCAGAGCTCGCTGGGCATCCTCAGGCAGGGAGAAGGTGACATAGCCGAAGCCGCGGCAGGTCTTGGTGCCTGGGGGTAGTGGAGGGGAGCAGTGAGGCCCTGCAGCCCTCCCCAGCTCTCACCATCAGACTGTCTCCGTCCCACGGGACCACACTCAGCCTGGTTCCCAACTGCCCCTGGGCCTCCTCCTGACACCCCCCAATCTACCTGTGTCCCGCCCCCAGTCCCTCCCAGTGCTCACGAGTCCCCCCTGAGCCTCCGCACCTTCCCCCAGCCCTCACTCCCTGCGCCCCCCAAACCCACCTCTGTCCCACCATCTCTCACCCTGGATAACTGATACTCCTGACCCACCCCCATCC